GCTAGCTGTTTCCCTGTTTTCAGTGTTTTTGCTAAGCTAGGCTACCCAGCTGTTGGCCATAGCTTCATATTTACTGTACAGACATGTTAGTGGTAGCAATCGTCTCATCTAACTATCGACTACTATCTTACGTGCTGTTCCCTAAATGTCAAACAGTTGCTTAATTTGCCAGACTCAGTTATAAAGGGAACGAGAGGGTCAAACAGTGACAAGTCATATTTATAATGAGATTGTAAGGATATTGGTTGATTGTGTCAGCTTTTAACAATGTAAACCATGTATGTCAAAAGAAATATGTAGATATTTCTATAGATCAGATATTTTATTTATTTAAGTATGTGACAAAGAAAATGAAATATGACAGTTTACAAGACAACTTTTAATTCTGTTGAAGTGCAAAGGGAGATTTTTAATTTCCTTCCAGCAAATGAGAGTCATCAGTGAATGAGGAAGGATGGAGCTTGATGTTATTTCATCTGTACAAGAATCAAACTGTTTTTGGTGTTTTTCCTTGCAGTGTTTCATGAACAGTATTCTGCAGTGTCTCAGCAACACACACAGCCTGCGAGACTACTGCCTGCACAACTCGCACCGCAGAGACCTTAACAACAACAGCCGCACCAACACAGCCCTCATGGAAGGTGAGAGATGTGTCACACAGGCCCCCTAGAGTCCAAAACAAACACCTCTTCTAGCAGCTCGGAAGTAACACACTCGTTCCCTCTTTGCCTCTGGATTAGATTTGCATCTTTCAGAACACGTGTTAGGAAAGGAGGCAAACTGGTTCTTGTTTTGTAGGCCTGCAGAGACACTGAGAATGTGTTTCTAGGTCTTCTAAGTGTTTGGGATTTACAAAATCTGACACAGGATGAGAAAATGAGTTCAGTTCACCTTCATTTACCTGAATACACTGTTACATTTGTAGAATTCACAAAGTGCATTTATGTCCCAGTGTGTCTGTAACTTGAGTGTTTCTGTCCTGGTAGAATTTGCCAAGCTCATACAGACCATGTGGACGTCGTCCAGCAGTGAGGCGGTTAGCCCATCTGAATTCAAAACTCAGATCCAGAGATATGCTCCCAGATTCGTGGGATACAAGTAAGCTGCCTTACATCCTTCAGCAGCACCTAGCATGGCTCCTGTCTGATAATGATATAACTGCAGAGATATGTCCCAATGCAGTAACGTCTGATATTTCTGCTTCTGACTGACTTGTTTCTGTGTCTTGCAGCCAACAGGATGCTCAGGAGTTCCTGCGTTTCCTCCTGGACGGCCTGCACAACGAGGTCAACAGGGTCACCGTCAGGCCGAGAGGCACTGTAGAGGACTTTGACCACCTCCCGTAAGTAACCTGCCTGACAGACAGACAGACAGTGTGTGTGCGTCCACTGACACCTGTCTGCTCCAGAGTTATTACAGTTGGGGATTTTTCATTAGTTTTAATTTTTCTTCTGTTTGTAATTTTTGTTTCCAGAATGAGTTTGTTCGTTTTAGTTTAATTTTTATTGTTTAAAAATGTTTAGTTTTAGTTCAGTTCGTATTAGCTTCAGTGTTAGTTGTAATGTTTGTTTTATTTTATAATATAGGTAGGGTACTTGTCAGGGTCAAGATTTAAGAAGTTCAGAATAGTTACTACAATAGAAACTCACAGTCATGTAGATATCCCAGTCTCAATAAACATATGTTCCTCTTCATGCTGGCTGTGTTCACATATTTGACCAAATGGACGTTTCCATTCTGAGTGGTTAAAGATCAACAGGAAAGAGCAGAATGAGGCACATTTGAACTCAATAATGGAAAAACATCAATGCCATAGTAAAAGCTTTGTATGTGTTATGTATGGTATACGCCCAGGCCAAGGCAACATGAACCATTAAGCTTTATGAAGCTTTCAATTAACAACAGTTTCAGCTCCTGGGTTGAGTTGTTGCCTCTCTGGGGCCCAGATCAGCTTAATGCTCCAATTCTTCTTGGACATAATTATCAGTTATCTAACCATAGCTTGTATAAGGGTCAGAGTTAATCTCAAAACGGGTCCATTCAAAAACAATGCAGACATTTATTTATTTCCAGCTTGAAAACGTGTGTCAGGGTAGAAAAGTGTCTTTTTAATCCCGTATTCCTATATACTGCCACCTATACTTAAGTAGGTCAGGTCACTAAATGGTGTCTGTTCTCTGCTGTTACCCATTACGTTATCAGCCCTTTTACTGAACCAGAACAGCTGAGTGTTTTCATCAGTATGTCTTGTCCATCTTGGATGGATAACAGTCTAATATGTGTTCTGTGTCTCCATGTTCAGGGATGAAGAGAAAGGGAAGAAGATGTGGAGTAAATATTTAGAGAGAGAAGACAGTAAGATAGTTGGTAAGTAGATTTATAGGTTTATAGCTGATATTTGTTTTACACAACAAAAATATCTAGTCTGAAAACAAAGATGGAATTGTCAAACGATCAGTATAAAGAAGAATACAATAGATATATTTTCATACTTTTTTAAGTAATAATAGTTTTTTTTCATGTAATCTTTCCCTATTCCTTTAGACTTGTTCGTAGGGCAGCTGAAGAGCTCTCTGACCTGTAGCCACTGCGGGTTCTGCTCCACTGTCTTCGACCCTTTTTGGGATCTCTCTCTACCTATCGCCAAGGTTAGGAAACACACCGGTGTCAGCTGGATGTTGGTCATCCTCTGAATGTTCTCCAAATTGGAGCTGAAAATAGTAAACATCTGTCCACAGCTCCTAACATGAGCTTTTGGTTTCCTCCCTGTCTCTGTATGTGCTTTGCTTTATGTGTGTGGTGTGTTTGTGTGTGTGTGGTTTGCTTGTGTGCATGCTAATGTGAATGCATCTATGTTTATGCTCAGAAGGGCTACGGTGAGGTGAGTCTGATGGACTGCATGCGGCTCTTCACCAAAGAAGACGTCCTCGACGGGGATGAGAAGCCAGTAAGAACCAACAGAATCCTTCCTAAAGAGCATAGTTTTTTCTATCCATGTTGAATACTGAAGTTGTATATGTAGGTCTCTGCTGGATTAAAACTGGCAGCTTGTAAACCGTGAGTGGACTAACTCTGTGTTTCCTCTGCAGACGTGCTACAGGTGTAAAGCCAGGAGGAGATGCACTAAGAAGTTCACAATACAGAAGTTCCCCAAGATCTTAGTGCTGCGTATCCTTTCCTCTGGACGTCAGGGTCCGAGACTGCTGTATTATATCAGACATGTGCAGCAAGCCTGTAGTTGTGAGAGCATGAAGGTGTCTGTGGGATAGTGTGTATGGATTATGGCAACACCGTAGTACACAGATCAAAAATTACTGTGAGAGCCATGAAACAAGTGAGTCATTACTGTTTTGCATGAATTTACATGGATGTGTAATCGACATTAGACTTGTCAGAGCGATGAATAATATGAATAAATACAACTATGTGTAGTTCGCGAACAATTTGCGGAAATTTTCCATCACACACACATCCATGTAAAATTAAAAGCATCCAGTTAAGTGCCTGTATGGTAGCTCCTTTAACATGCTGCACTGACAATGTAAAAGCACTGCTATCAGTTTGACTTTTAACACAGACGAACCTAGCACATGGCATATCTAAGCACAGGGAGGAGAAAGTTGATCAAGGCTTACTCAACTGTCATTGGAGCACAGAGCAAAAAGGGGCGCGACTTATGAAGGGTCAATTGTACAGAATCTTGGCTGAATGTATTGAAAGGTACATACAGAGCAGTTGCTCCTTGACTGTCCCTCCTGTCCAGACCTGAAACGCTTCTCTGAGGCACGAAGAACCAGCAAACTGTCCACCTTTGTTAACTTCCCCATGAAGGATCTTGACCTGAGGGAGTTCGCCTCCGAAAACAGCAGTAAGTACTGATTCCAAGATCCAGGATGGTCTGTAACTGATATGAGTATAATATATATTTCATGTTTTGGAAGTCTTACAAAGCTTTGGATAATGAAGAAACAGTGGAGACAGTAATGTAAAAATATTGTTGAGTTGACTTGAGAGTATGTCTGTTTGTTGGATGATACATTTGTCTCAGAAATAATTGGCAAAAACAATATTGTTAACAACAACTTATATAATGATAAGTACACCCTTTCAAAGAGAAACTGTGACCTCTTTTCAAAGTTTGTTAAAAACAGAAGGAGTGACTGCAGGCTTTAAGTTTGTGTTGTGCTTCTGTCCTGTTGTAGTAAACGCAGTGTACAACCTGTATGCAGTGTCCAACCACTCAGGCACCACTATGGGCGGTCACTACACAGCCTACTGTCGCAACCCCAACTCGGGAGAATGGTACACATTTAATGACTCCAGGTAGGTGTGAACACCCATCATCATCATCATCATCATCATCAAGATCTGAGTTTATGAATGTAGTTTAGATCATGATAAAACGATACACCAAATATATGTCAATGGATAAATAATTATTACAAACTGGGAATTAATACAACCAGCACAATATTGCTACTTCTTCCAAGACTTTTTCTAATTTGATCTCCACTGTCTGGCTTTCTAGTTGTATCAGCTGCCTTCTGTACAATAATAAACTGCTATAAAATAGCTTTTCATTGGAGTTGTGTTTGTAATAAAACATCTTCTAAGTTGTTTTCCTGTGAATTATTGATGGTAGAAGATTCTGCTACAGGAAATACCCTCAGAGCCATTTAAAATGTGAATAATGATACAACAGTATGATTTATTACAAAGTAACTTCAAACAAACAAAAACATGTAGCTGCTATATATCACCAAATGTCACTGTACAGCAGCTGTTCATGCAAACTTAATGAAACCTCCTCAAACTATTCATAAACAACATTATATAGTATTGGATCTGAGTTACATATTAGTTACTTTTTACCGCATCATCGTACAGTCTGTAATCAGTGACCTGACCACATGAGTAGTTACCATGACCACACTGTGGATCGGCAGATAAGCCAGTCAGACTGCAGTGAGTGAAACAGCAGCAGAGTATTAAAGGCAGGAATAATTGTAGAAGGTGCAGATAATCCTCCTCGCCTCCTTTATCTCCTCTGCTCCCTCGTGAGCATCTAGTGGCTCCCTCCGGGCTTCCTACTGCTGCGCTGCAGTCACTCATAACACGCCACTTTACTTCTTACTGAACTATACATATTACAGGTCTAATGCGTTTCCCCACTCTCTTGCTGTTGTTGTACCCCAGTGTAACAGTGGAGTTTGTAATAATAACTGAACACTATATACTGTGTGCTGTGTACACTGAAAACCTTTTCAAAACTGAATAAGGAATTACAATCAGTGCTACTCTCCACTTAGTATCTTAAATATCGTATAAAATAGGTTTTAAAAGTCCTAATTTCTCTGCAGATAAAACTTACACAGTTAACTTGATTGACACCTTTGACAGGGATATGGTTTAAGAGATTACCCTCCTTTGATTCTTTTAAAGATACCAACTGGATTAGATTATTTAGACATTTCAAATTTAACCCAGAGGGTTTTTGGTTTTTGTTTTCCTTCTTTTCTTTTCATATATTTTATTTGTTGTACATTTGATCAAGATGTAAAGTAATAGCTAAGCTAAAAGGACTCAGCTGCAGCCCCCAGCTCGTGTCCCATATCCAGACTACATACTGATTGTAAGCAGGTTTTGGCTATGTAGTATAGACAGAATGTATGCTTAATATTCTTGATGCACACTATTATCCCACATTGCATTGGAAATGGAGGCACTGCTCACAGCTAAAAAAAGGGAATAAATTATTGGTGTTGATGAGACATCTCCAGAAAGATCTTTGAAAAGCAAAAAACTAATATTCATTTGATTAGTAGGATTGGGACATGCCTTTCACATCAACAAAAGGATGATGGGTACCCTAGTGTCAAATAATGGAAACAATAATAAGAGGAGGAGTACGGTGTGCTTAAAACTAGTGTGTAGTACCACCAAACACATGTAGTGATTACAACATCAGTCTGGAAGTAAAGGGAGTTGGAAATGTGCAATAGTATCCCAGTGTTGATGACCACAGGCTTAAACACCCAGAATTTGAAATGTAGTTTGGATATTCGCTGTAACAGCATATATCAGGGATAAATAATGGGCTTCTTTGTCTTAACTGTTGTTTCTCAGCAAGCAACCTATCTCGTCTTTCTTTCCAGAGTAACGCCAATGTCCTCCAGCCAAGTGCGCAGCAGCGACGCCTACGTCTTGTTCTACGAGCTGGCTTCCTCCTCACGGATGTAAAGCCTCCTGGAGGACGGCGGACAACAGCACCACTCTGACTGACAGTCAGATGGATGGAAAAATAAGAGTGTTGGTGGAGCCAGGCCTATTTTGGACTTGTATTTGGACATATATCACACACACACACACACACACACAAAGGCGCACACCCCCACCAGCCTTGAGGCAGCTCTCTCCGCAGAGAGAGCTGGAGAGGGGAACACTCTGGAAACCACAGGAATCTGATCAACCAGCCCTGCTTTCTCTCCCTCTCTGTCTTTACTCTCGTGTCTTGCTCACTCTGGGTGGAGGTGTGTGTTTGTTTGTGTGTGTGTTTGTGTGTGTGTGTGAGTGTACAAGGCTGACAGGGCAATAATCCCATCCGACCGTCCGACCAGTGAAACCGTCTCCATCTCAGAAGTCCCTCTCTATGCACTGCAAACCGAACTGTCATCCTGACCGCGCCTTCACTTCTTTATTTCTTCGACTGTCGATCTTCTCGTTTGCCTCAAACCATTAAAACTGACTTGTTGCAATTTTTTCTGCTTTGAATTCATGTTGTTTTTATGCTGTTTTTTTTTTCTGTTTGTTTTGTTTAGTTTTTTTGTCGGGGCGGGGGCTTATTACCCCAGCACCGCAAGCATCATCATCACCACCACCACTTTGGACTGTGGATAGATTGTGCTTAGTGTGTGACTGTAACAGGACTGGTCATGGTTACAAGGAGCTTACAGCCCACCGGCCTGCTTCGCAGCTTGCCCTCCCACTGCACCACAACACTCCCATGTCTCTGTCACTCTACTCTCTCTTTGTCTGAACAGTGGTTGGGAGGCCGGTGGCACTGTGAGCGCTACATGTTTCAGAGGACGACCCTCTAACATGTGTTTTATTGACATTTGTTTCCCCACGTGTGGCTGCTACTGATGTTTTCAAAGTGCTGTGAATGGATGAATGGACGATGTGCTAAGGATTAATAATATAGACGATAATAATGGTAACAATCCTCATCGTCAGCATGAGGTCTTTTCTTCCTCTCTTGTTTCATGCCATTGAACAACACGGAAAGAATGTTTTAAAGAAGAAACTATAACACACTATATCTGTATATTTTTATATCCTGATGCAATATAGAGAATGTACTATTCAATGGTGCTGAAAATGACCCATAACTGTTTTCAGTTGGTTTATTTCCCAGGTTTCAAGAGAGAAAAAAAAGTTATTATTTATGCTTACAGGTGAAAATGTGATGAGTCACACTTTTTAACAGTGGCAGTCAAACACATGAGTATATAAATATATATATATGAATAAAAGTTAACAAAACGGTGGTTTTACTTCTTTGTCTTTTTTTAGCTTTTGTGGTAGAGAATCTGCAATGTAAAGACACTGTGACGGTAACAGATGCCCTGTGTGCACCGGAAGGCAGGTGGTAAAACAAGGGAAGGTAACTACCAGGAGACAGCTAGATTTCGAAAGTATTCAACCGAAAGGACACCATCATTTAAAATAATAACCTTATTACAGGCCTGTGACTGCTAGATAGCAGATTTTTTTTGTTTTATTCAGATGATTTGATTTATCGATTGTCAAGAATTTCAACCAATATACCAATAAATGCTTCTGAGATACATTACCTACCTTAGCTTTGAGTTAAAACAGCACTCTCATGCCCATGCCACAATAAATCAGGTCTTGCTTGCTGTATCAATTCCTCCTGTTCATACTAGCCATTATCTCTTAATGCCCTTTCTCATACGCTTCCAGTGATGGGGGGACAGAATCCACCATCCTCATTTTTTATCATAATGTATTTTAATGTAAGTTACTCAAAGTGTCGACAGTGTGAGTGTTTAATTACAAAGTTGTCTCTTTTTGCTGCTATCCTTGCATTGCAGGAAACAGAATTTATACCAAAAAGGAAGGACTTTCTCTGATCATTTCTATTGGAAGCACATTAGGAAGGGATGATGGCCAATGTACATGTGGGTACCAGACTGTGAGCCTTTCCTCTAACAGGTAGTAATTTGGAGGTGAGTGTAGTAGATAGATGTAGAAAGTATCACTAAAGGTCTTAATACAGTTTGGTACAGACACTTTGGCAGGGGAAGCATTGAATACTAATATTGAGCAATGTTTTGCCCTACTTAATATGAATAATAACTACCTCTTTAACTGTGTAATCCAAATGTTTGGCCTGTAGAAATTCATACAAGTCTAATTCTATCTGAGAGCGTCATTTGGCTGCCAAATCTTTTGTAATGAAACTGAACTACAGCACATAGTAGAATCACACTTTAGTGATATAATCCATCTTGGGTAGAGACAGCTCAACCGGCTCTCTTATCAGCTTAACGCCGCAGAGACACACACCATTTTCTTTTGATGGATCGCTCAGTAATCGTTATGGAAGTGCCGTGGCCTGGCCTACTTCCTGCTGCTCCATTATCCGTACGTGGCCTATTTCTGCGGTCCGAGGTTTTGCGGCCTCATAGTGTGATCTGATGCCATGAAAAGGTCCAGCAACAGCCAGGAATAGTTCCATAGGCTGACACCCTGGAGGCTCCCACATCGCACTGAAAGAACTCATCCGCTCAGACATCTAAAAAAAAACGAGGAATACATGTGGAACCTGATCCACAAGCAGTGAAACGCTCACTCAATATGGATTAGTTGGTGTTCAGGGAGAAACATCCATCACATCATCAGACTGAAGTATTGGTGTCACATCACTTAGCGGCACACAATCTGCAAAATTGGAAGTAGCAGTGCTTAATTTTGCATAACACTGCTAGGATAGTTTCAAGCTCTCAGTTACAATTTTACACTCTGTATCTTTATTGCGTCTGATTCCACACGAGCCAACATGCAACAGCAGATATTAAAGGAGCTCAGCTGAGTGGGAGTTCAGTGTGACACACCAAAGGAATTAAATTCAGGTGGAGCTCTCATCTTTGTCCTCACATTTGAACAAATAAAACCGGAATACTTCAAAGAAGAGCAGCCGCTGTACAAGTAGTCAGTAAACCCACTCAGTAATCAGTAAGTTGCAAAGATTTGTATTTTATCATGGAAGCCAAGAAAGGCCATGCTTTGTATTTTTTTAATTGTCATTATCTTAAGATCATGAGTAAATTATTCTGTTATCTCGTTATTACAAGAAAACAAAAGCTTGTTTCTCCTTATTACTTCTAATGTATATCAGATATCAGGAGTGTCATATTATAGATTTAGTATTGGTTCATACTCATAATGGACAATGTATGGAGGAAAGACATTAGTTAATACCAGTTAATACCAGTTAATATTCACATTTATACCGACCAACCAGGAAAAAGTACATGGATCTTTGAGCTCCTTTAATTAATCTCATTACCAGGACACCAATATCTTCAATGAACTCTAAGTTGTCACATTCTGGTAACAACTCTTTTCAGTTCAGTGGTGATTCCTCCCCATGCCAGTCTTAAGGGTCAACTGCATGACAACCGTTACCAAGTGAAGCATGTAAAGGCGGGACAAGAGGAGGCAGACAGTAAAAGAGCGTTATGGTTCTGACCTTGCTGATGCACCAGTTTGTAACAAAGAATGACTGAGAGCATAAGCTGCAATATAACCAGTTTCGCTTCAGTCTCACAGTGTACACGGTGGCTCTTTCAAGGAATAATGCTTTGGAATAAGAGACAAAGACAGATATTGCTCTTCAGCTCACCCTAACTAGACAAAATAGGTTTTCTGTTTCCCATGACAATACCAACCAAACACAGTTGCGGCGTTTTATCTGAAGTTTCCTCCACTAATGTTAGCACAATAAGCAATTTTGCAGCTTCTGTACTTTCTTTGCACTTGGAAGGGGAGAGTGAAGCGAGTGTGTTGTAATCTGCAACTACACCAATAGATGCCACTAAATCCTACACACTGAATAGAATTACTTTTATGTGTGAGTATGACACCCTGGGCAAGACCCTCTTCGAGCACAAATACACAAATAATATATATAAAAAAATTTTAAAATGTGCATGAACTATAGGCCTGTATTTATTATATTATGAATGAAATGTGCGTTATTTGGAAATTATTTATGTGTGTTTGGCATGTGTGAGTCATTTTATTGGCCAAAACCACTTCCATGGAACAGCTTTTGTTGTGAACTTTGAAACAAACACTGAGATAACAATGTGGACTGGCCCAACCTTCATACACATGTGCAGTAACAGCGTTATTTAGTTCCACAGAACAACACTGAATCAGCAGCAGGAGGTAAACGCAGGACTGAAAGAGGCTTGTTGAGAGAGCGCTCAGACTGAAGCTTTGACCCACACTCCATCTGTCTATAATCTATCTATTATAAACAACGGGAACCTTTACATGGCAGCCTCATATGGTAAGTTCTTTTAAGCAGTTTAAAAAGATTTCTAAAAGCTGTATTTGAGTGTGTATGAATTGGAGATCATGAATGCTTGGCAGGTCCAGAACCAAGTCTGTCCCAAGTGGTTGTGCTGTTACTGGGTAAGAAACAAAGTGGGAAGAGCTCTGCAGGAAACAGCATCCTGGGAAAACCAGCCTTTCACAAGAAGACTACTCACAGCTCCAAGAAGAACGGCACTGTCTCTGGAATACAAGTGAATATACAGGTTTACAGTTTGGATTTACTTCAACTTTAAATCTTGTCTTTACTCTCTTTGACCACATTTTATAAAGCAGGTGACAGTGGTGGACACCCCAGGGTGGCTGTCCCACTCCACCACTCCAGACAGAGTGTCCCAGCAGCTCCGCAGAGGTCTGAGCCTCTGCCACCCAGAGCCTCATGTCATCCTGCTGGTGCTGCCCATCTCCTCTAGCTTCGGCCAAGAGGAGTGGAAGGCCATGGAGGCCCAGCTCAGACTGCTCCAAACCCCCATCTGGCAGCGAGCCATGGTCCTCTTCACCCATGGAGACAAGTTAGGTAAACTCATTTACTCTGCCTCCTTTAGTGATAATGGTACATGT